TATTTACGTCTGAAATGTTTACACACTTGACTGCACTGTCTAGGCGGTCTAGCTCCTTCCTAGCTCTGTATAATGAATATACCGTCTAAATATTATTGGCACTTAATTGAACGCCCGTAATGCATAAGATCAATTTATATATTGCGTAGATTTTCAAAGATTTACTCAATATTCACGTCTGAAATCTTTATACATTTGAAAACAACACTGTCACCCCTTCCTAGCATATCGTCACGCCATCGTGATCTACGGCTTGATAGCGCATGCGCATTTGCGCTACTAAAGAAAAATCGGGTGTTCCGGGGTAAAGATCCTTTACACAACATGAGAAGCGAATGTTCTAAAATTTACAAAAAATTACAATAACGAAAGCGATTCCTCGAAATTTTTGTGAACTTGGCAAAAGGATAACAGAATATGTAAATAAGTTAACTGAAATTGCCTAAATAACCTTCAAAGTACTGACTAAGTACAATAAATCACTACGAATATAAATCGTATACACCCCCCGGAAAGTTTACTCTATGATTGACTGTTTGACTGATTCGTGTGAATTCGCCAGCCATCACAATAGTGTGAAGTGAAACTTCACACTAAAAATGGTTATCATTTCACAAAAATAATTACTTTATTACGCAAATTTTACCTGAAAATGTAAAAAATTTAACTTTAATTTGCTGGGGTCAAACCTTTGAAAAGTTTAGAGCCCCCCCCTTCAGTATATCAAGAACTTTCAGAGCCCCCCCCTTTAATGCCAGAAAATATTTCGGAGCCCCCCTTAACATCTTCATCCCCCCCCCCCTCGGCATAATAAATGTACTTTCCCTTAGTCAAATAAGTTTGGTTTGAATAAACGCATATTATATCACACATTTATGTATAATATACTCTATTATTCTGAAACAACATGCACCGCATGATTTTGCCGCCTGTAAAGCAAAAATAATTTATGATAGGTATAATGTGGAACTGTACTGGGGCCGTCTGCCGTGTTTTCTTGAATTAGCCGTATTAGGGTATACTTCATCCAACGATCGAGGAATGTCACAAAAGTGAGTAATTTTGATAAATTTTGATTTGTTTGTTTGTTCGTGCATAGCTATATATCACCATGCTGGTTCCATCAGTCAAAACTGTTGTAGAAATACATAAACCAAAACAATGGGTCAAATTTTAACCCATCGAAATCACAGGGCCGCAGGTTCTATGGTTGCCAGAGGGCCTGCTAATAGTTGCCTTTAAAGGCATATGGTAATATAAAGTTGATTTTCTCTGTGTTGGTGTTGTGTACTCAGGTGAATATGATGTTTGTGATGTTATTCTGAGTGTATATCACACCGAGCCGGCTTGAAAAATATGCCCGGCCACGGTGGGAATCGAACCTACGGCTTTTGGAATACCAGCCCAATGCTCTGCGCCTCTGCCAACTGAGCTACGCGGTCAGGTCGGTTCGAGTAAGTGATATTTCGGAACAGAATCTAGTTCCTTTGATACCAATGTAATCTAGTAATATGATTTTTCTGTGTTGGTGTTGTGTACTCAGGTGAATCATTATGATGTTTGTGATGTTACTCTGAGTGTATATCCACACGCCCGAGCTTGAAAAATATGCCCGGCCACGGTGGGAATCGAATCTACGACCTTTAGAAT